TGCTGTTCGGTTTCAGCAGCGACTGAATCGGTGACAGCTGGGGTGCTGCCGGGTTGGGTCCCGCAGCCCTGAGGGGCAGCGCTATGGGACCAACCTGGCAGCGCCCCAGCTGCTCTACCCTAGGCGTCCCCGATTCAGCCGCTGGTCAGTTTTAGCAGCGGCTGAATCGGGGAAGCTGGGGGCAGAGCAGCTCCAATGGTCTGGCTGCCTGGAGCACTTCTGGGTTCCTGATGGTGCCGGACCATCAGGAGTGCCGGACCATCAGATGCCAGACCATCGGAGTTTTACTGTACATATATATCTCTGCCAAACTGAAATTTCCACTTCATGCATCTGATGACGTGGGCTCCAGCTCACAAAATCTTATGCCCAAATAAAATGGTTAATCTTTAAAGTGCCACAGAACTCTTTCCTTTTCCTTTTCCTTTTCCTTTTCCTTTTCCTTTTCCTTTTCCTTTTCCTTTTCCTTTTTCTGAAACAGACGTCTTTCCCTCTGTAATTCACCTTGGTTATCCAGGTATGGCAGTTAATCAGAACTCCGTTATTCCTGATTATTCAAGCCCTTGTTATGAAAAGTTCATGTGTTATACTAAAGTACGGGAAACAGGCTGCAGTAACTATCAGTTGTGGTATAATTTGTTCATGTCAGTTACAACATTGTTTCATATTACTGATGTCTGTGCCTTGATTACAAACTTATCAACTCCCCATCAGTCTTCTTTTCACAAGAATAAACATGCCTATTGTTTTAATCTTTCCCCTATACCAGGCTCGACAACATTGAGCAACCACAGGCATGCTTCCCAGCTGCTTCCAGTGGCCATGGTTCACTGTTACTGACCAATGGGAGCTGTGGGAAGCGGTGGCCAGCACTTTCCTGCAACCTTGCTGCTTCCGCCCATGTTTACCATTGTCTGGGAATGGTGAACCATGACCATTGGATGCTGCAGGGGCCGTGCTTGTCTTGTGGCCTGCCAGTGGATTACCATGAGAGGCCACATGCCAAAAGTTGCTGTCCCCTGCCTCATTTTTGCATTTTTGTTCCTCTTCTCTAGATTTTCTCCAATTTGTCCACATTTTTCCTAAAGCATGTCACCCAGAATTGGACATAATATTCCAGCTGAGGCCTCACCAGTGCTGTGTAGAGAGGGGAGATAACTGTCCCAATCTTACATATAACACTCTTCTTAATACAGGCAGTCCCCGGGTTACGTACAAGATAGGGACTGTAGGTTTGTTCTTAAGTTGAATTTGTATGTAAGTCGGAACTGGTACATATTGTAGGGGAAACTCTAGCCAAACATTTCTCCAGAGCTCAGTTTTATTCTCCCACACCTCACTTCCCTCAGCCCTTTATTCTCAAGCTGAAGTGTCTGCTGAGAAAAGCCGCTCCGTGTCTCCCTGGTCTGCTGGGGGGTGGGGCGCTAGCTTCGCGTCTCCCTAGTCTGCTGGGGGGAAGCAGCTAGTGCGGGGTTGCCTCACCCCATTTGTAAGTAGGGATCCGATGTAAGTCGGATCCATGTAACCTGGGGACTGCCTGTATACTCCAGAAGGATATTAATCTTTTTTCTGTTCCATCACATTTTGACTCATATTCAGTCTGTGATCCAAGAGAACCCCAAGATCCAGATCAGCAGTGCAACCCCCTAACCAGTCATACCCTAGTCTGTAGCTGTACATTAGATTTTACCTTCTTAAGAGAAGTACTTTTCACGTGCCTTAATTGAATTTTCTCCAATTTGTCATGGGTATTTTGAATTTGTATTATGTCCTCCAAAGTGTTTGCAACCCTTCCCAGCCTGATGTCATTTGCAGATTTTATAAGCATACTTTCCAGTCCATTATCCAAGACACTTAATGACAATAGTACTGGACCCAGGACTGGCCACTGTGGCATCCTGCTATGTATGCTCTCCCCTGCTGACAGCATAGCATTGATAATAAATCTTGGAGTACAGTCTTTCAACCAGTTGTGTACCCACCATTTAGTAATTTCACCTAGACCACATTTTCCTGTTTGCTCATGAGAATGTGATATGAGATCCTGTCAAATTGGTGACATGTGGGAGGGGCAAGGAGGGCCACATGACACCCCCCCCCCCCCCCCCCCCCTCCTGGCAGCAGCTTCTGTCCACCAGGAGCTAGACTCCAACAAACAGAGGCAACAGACAGCCGGTCTGCGTGGGGAGCTGTTTTTTAAGCCACCTCCCCCAGCACCAGCTCTGGCTCAGAAGGTGTTATTGCATGTAAACTGTCCTTTGCATCTACACTACCATGTCGACAAAGCACCTTGCTTTGTCGACAGAACTCAATGTAGTCTAGACGCTCTTTGTCGACAGAAGTTTTGTTGACAGTATCTGTCGACAAAACTTCTGTCGACAGAAGCCTGTAGTCTAGACGTACCCATGGAGGTATCTTAATTCCACAAGATTCCAACATTTGGTTTTGGAGACCCAGAAAAGAGAGAAAATTGCATTCAGTTAGTTAAGGTTTATTGGACTCTTTTAAAGACTTTCTGGATACCCGAAGGTAGGTAAACTGATAAACTTTAAAACGTTCCACCATAAGGATTAGAATATTTTTTCTCTCGACCAACACCTGGATCATTGATAGTCTCTGGTGCAGTAATAAGGCCTAAGGGAGGAAGAATTTGTTGTAGAATATTATAAGAAAAAGAGTCCCGAAAAATTGCTAATCTGGGTAGGAAACCATGTTCCTATACTATGTCATCTTTGAGGATTATGAATTATCAGTTGTGCTGTATATTATTATTATTTATATTGCAATATTGTTGAGAGGCACTGGCCCCATGGTGCTGGCTACTGTATGAACGTGATATAGACACAATCATTGCTTGGAAGAGTTTACAATCCAAGTATTGTTTTAGTGATACAACTGTTTTGTTATTGGAAGAATTGTCTTCCATATTAGAACACAAGTTAGGAAATCAAAGTTGGGCTAAAAGAGTATCCTGTCAGGACTGCAGTTGTTCACCCCACACTGATACTTCTAGCTGAGATCTCTATGACTCTGTTGTAAAGCACAAGATAGGAGTTGAGGATTTAGTCTCTGAAAGCTGTGAGATCTTTAATTAAGAATAGCCAGGGCCCTTGAAAAATGAAGACAAAAACTCACCAACTTGAGACAGCTTAAGGGTATATAATTAGCACAAATAGTATAATTTTATCCTACTAGTAAGTAGCATAATGTGCATTTTTCTTACAGTTTGACTCAAAATTTTTATCATTTAACTGATCTGTGTTATTGCTTTTGGAAGTATCTGTTGAAATCCACAGAATGCTTTATTTAAACATGATTATCATAATTCTTGCAGGTTTCTGTAGCTGGCTCTAGTGCTGGGAGAGGATCTCCATCTGTAACTCTGGTACAGTTGCCTTCTGGTCAAACTGTACATGTCCAGGGAGTGATTCAAGCCACACAGTCATCAGTGATTCAGTCACCACCAATGCAGGCTGTTCAGGTTAGCTGTCCTTTATATTTTTTACTGTAGTTGTGGATTTTTTTAAAGCTTGTGGTTCCCCTTCCATCCACTTTGAAACCTCAACCCTAGATCTTCAACTTCCCATCTTCTTTCTCACCAGTGTATAGAAGACCCACCTCTACCATGATGCACATGAGTAATGGCTAACTGCTAATAGCTAAGCAGATGGCCTATAGAGATTCATTAATATATTTGTTTTATATTTTAAATTAATGATGCCTTGGAATCCTCAATTTGTGCAATAGCAAATTTCTATAATCACATGGTCCTATTTTAATGACTCTTCCACTTTGTTTTCTCATTTTGTTGTTCTGTTCCCTCCACATCTTGTCTCAAATGGGATTATAAATTAGGGATGTGAATGGTTAACTGGTAAACCTCATCTTTAATGGGTGAGGCTTACTGGTTAAGGATAACCAGTTGGGACTCGAGCAGCTCTCTGCCTGCCATGGGCAGAGGGCTGCTCCATCCCCACTGGGGGCCCACTACAGACAGGGGCTGCTCTGGCTGGGCTGGAGTCCTGGTCAGAGCAGCCACTGTCTGCAGCAGGCCCAGGCACCCTCCAAGCAGGAGCTGCTCCATTGTCCTGGCCAGAGTAGCCTCTGTCCATGGTGGGCCCAAGTGCCCTGCCTGCAGGGCACCCTGGCCTGCTGTAGGCAGGGGATACTAATAGCCTGGCCCGTGTAGCCCTTGCCTGTGACAGGGGAGGGGTTGTTCTAATCTGGTTGGAGTGGCCCCTCAATCTCTTCCCCATTAATCAATTAAAGGGGATGTTATATATCTCTATTATAAACTCTTCCATGCACGGATTATCTCTTCATTGTTTTAATAGAAAGTCTAGAATAGTGGGTCTACTATACTGAAGAGATTATCTGGGAGCAGTGCAAATAAAAGTATTATAAATACAGCTTTTCTTCTTATTGTTTATTGTCATCAGCATTCATTATTGCATCTGGGTTTGTTTTTAATGGTATAGATAAAAAATGTAAAATGGCTTCAAAACTAGTAGCATGTGTTTGGCAAACATTCCTAGAGCTGATCTTGTTTTGATTTTTGATCTTTGTTTTACTCTTGACACAGACAGCTGACATGTTCCTATCAAGGAAAGATGGTCTTTTAGATAACTGGAATCTAGTCTCCGTTACCAAGGACTTGAGAGACCTCAAATTTAATCCAGAAATTAGTTGATGTGTAAAAGCACAAGAACAATGTGTTCTTACTGTGCCACTTGAAAGGCAGACAGCAACATGCTGCATTTGCTGAAGCTTCTGAGTAGCCCGTTAGATAACAAAATATGTCTAAATGTGACGAGGATATGTCTGTGAGGGAGGAATACAGTCTCATATCCAGTGGAAAGTGGAACATTGAACTTCTGGCCCTGCTGTTATCTGGGACACCAGGTATCAAGTGTGCAGCCTAGGAAGTACGCAAGACCACAGTTCTGTTAAATGGTTATAGGAGGCCCAGCTTTGGCCTGGACCACAGTCTGGCAGACACACTAATGTTTGAATTTCAAAAGAAAATACTGCTTTCAAAAGTAATATACAGCAGATTCAGTGCTATCAATAAAACAAATAATAAAAAAAACCCAGAGAGCCCTTCTCATTTGCTATCATCACCTTTCTTCAACTCAGTTTAGTTTGGAATAAACATGCAGCCCCATGGCTTGAAGTCACCCATGAAGAGAAGCATTTCCCCTGGGTTTCTTACCAACTATCTCTTTTATTAGGGAAATAAAAACCAACTGCTTTCCCATAGTCTTTTCCCACAATGAGAGTAGAGAGAAGGAAGAACCTGTGCCCTAAACAAAAAAGCCCTAAAAGGCTGATATGCACATGAGCAATTTTAGATTTCATCAGACCCTTAAAGTATTCTCCCCATCCAGTCAGAAGTACCTCCTTATTTTGCTGGCTTTCACCAAACCCATTTCTATAAGACACTGGGGCACAGAGGAAATGATACCATCTGGGTTTCACTAAAAGAAGCACAGTGTCTTCTGCATGTTGATGGCATGATACCTGTACCTGCACACAGATTCCTGCCCCCTTCTACCATATGACTTCATAAGAGGCTGAACAAGAAGGGACAAAAGTCTGAGCATTTTGGGACACCACAGACTTTTGCGTGAAAAAAGCTGTTGTCCAACATTAAGGGTCCTAACTGCTCTGCGTTATGATGAATGTTTTGTATTTCAGCTTATTCTTTGAAGTTATTTTCTTTTCCCACCCAGTTCTCTCTGCATTTTGTCAGGTGGCTACAGCAGGGATCAAGAATTAGGGACTGAAGGGCCTTTACCCACCTTGACCTTGAACTTCAATTTGGGCTTGGAAAATAGGAAAAATGCACTGGAGTTAAACACCAATCTAGAGCTGTGGATGGTAGTAGATCTGGGAAAGAATGGAGATGGTGAAAGCTTGTAGAACCAGCAGATCTGGCTGCTCTCTAATAAAGTCTTTCTGATAATCATTCACCAAAAAGCAAGTGTTAAGTTTTTTTTATTATATCATTAAATAATTCACAGGTACAGCACTTATTATAGCCAACAAATTGTATATCCCTTCCATTGGTATAACCCTGAATTATACGTACAGATAGCTGAGAAATTACATCTATTGATTTTAGTCACTACTTGAGGCTAGATCTCCTAGGCCATGTCTACACTGCAGGCTTCTTGCGCAAGAAGCCTTTTGTACAAGAGTTTTTGCGCAAAAACTTCGTGCTCAAGAGCACATCCACACCTCAAAGCGCATCGCAAAAGTGATGTGCTTTTGTGCAAGAGAGCATCCTCACTGCATGGACACTCTTGCACAAGAAAGCTCTGATGACCATTCACAGAATGGCCATCAGTGCACCTGTGCTTTTTCCCATAGGGGTTTCTTGCACAAGAAACTCCTCTGGAGCATCCACACTTGCCTTTTTGTGCAATAGCCGTAGCACAAAAGGGAGTTATGCTTCATAGAAGGAGGTTTACCTACACTGGCAAAAGCCCTCTGTTCTGCCATTTTACTGCTGATTTACTTGTGCAAAAGTGCATTTGAGGTGTGGATACTCTGCAGGTTTTTGCGCAAAAAAGGCCATTTTTGTGCAAAAATGTTGCAGTGTAGACGTAGCCCTAGTGTATTACAACAATGCTGCACATCAGATAAGGGCCCTCAAGAACCACTGTGCCTGACATTTTTACTGAAGAGCATCATGTTCCTGCCCTGTCCCTTGGACAAACCATGTCATGCCTTCAGCCTACTTCAGAGTGACCCTGTGCTTACATTAGACAAGGGGAATCCTTAAGGCAACTTTAAGTCCTCTTTGCATCCCTTCATTATTTCTGTAAGAGGAATGAGCATAATCACCACCACAAATTGATTCTGCTCATCCTGGCTGGGTTTTGCAGTGTAGATTAAAATTAGGTTTGTGCACAGTTGTAGAAATTCCTCTCACTATGTTTCTGAATTGTTTGTATGTTTCATTTTAGTGTGTATGTCCCTCGCTTTATTCTAGGAAGTGCCATACTGTGCAAAATGGTTTTGAGGAGAAACAGAATTGCATTCAACTCAGAAAAAGGAAGAAATAATAGTTTTATTTTGGTTATAGTAACCTATAATTCTTTGAAGTCATGACCTCTGACTGTTTGTACTCTTGGGATGAGGTGTCTCAGTACCACAAGTTTTTTAATCTTCCAGGATAACTGCTTTGTGCTCAGAGCACTTAGGGCCTTAGATTGTGTGAAACAGATATAGCAATCATCTGGATTCTATCTTTACTGATGCTAGCTCCACCGTGTCCCATTCTGACTCTTCAGAGTTCTAGTTCATTTTTGTTGGATCTAGTTAATGTTTAGATTATTCAGGTAGTTTAAAAATAGTCTAATCTAAAAACTCTGTAGTTTTTGGTTTGAATAAAAAAACTCTTGCCAAAAATTATGGATCTTAACTACTCTGCATTGAATGTTTTGAATTTCAGCTTATTTTCACTCTGTGTGAAAATGATATTTTCTGCATCTATATGTATATTATAGAGTGCATCTGACTGATTATGTTTCTGTCTGTGAATCCATTTGTTCAAGAATTCCTCTTAAACGGTAAGAGTTAGGATCACCAAATTTGGTATGAAGCTTCCTCTTCTATTAACTTAAAGCAAAATCAGAGTTTGGTTGTGCCAGGACAACAGGAAACCCCAGGAAAGGGACTATTTTTCATAACATCTGAAAAGGGAGAGGCTACTGTTTGGAGGGACATGATATGAGAGTGGCCACTGGGCCAGCCAGCCTCCAGGAGAGAGCTATACTGCAGAGTGTCTATTGCAGGCAGCAGTACTACCAAGAGAGTGGCTAGCAGGGCTGGGGCTCTGCCATCTTGCCTGTCAGCACACCAGTAGGTAACCCTTTTCCCCCTTCCAACCCTTGGCCCAGAGTAGGAATGTAAGTGACTAGTTGACTATCTGAGAAGCATAAGCTGCTCTGATAGTCGCTTTCCCCCTGCTTACTGCCTCTATCAGAGGCAACAAGGAGCGGGAGCAGGAGCCGGTGCTGGGGAAACCCGCACCATCTCCACAGGGGGCAGAGCAGGCAGAGGCATAGCGGACGACCGGGCACGAGCTAGAAATCATCTGATTCCCGGCTTGTGCCCAGTCCCAGATGCTGCGCTTCAGCTTTTAATATATATTAAGAGCCTGCTGGCTCTTAATACATTTAAAAAGCTGAAGTGCATGGCGGGGAGGGGAAGGCCCCAGGTGGCTGGAAGGGGAAGAAAAGAGGCCCATGTCAAATGGGACCACTTGCCCTACGGCTCTTCTCATCCTCCATCTCTCAACCCCTCTTGCAACCCCCATCCTCCTGCACTTCCACCCCCCACATCCTCAAGGCTCTGCCTGACTCCTGCACCCCTACACTGCCAGCCATAGACCCTGAATGACCCAGAGAAGTCTGCTAATAACTAATATAATGGCACAAAAAGTTCCTCTTTTGCACATATCCTACACAACAGTTAAACTAATCAAGTAACTGGTGTTTTTCCTTACTCAGTTAATTGCAGTTTCAGTTTTGCACAGAATAACATCTTCTGGTAAAGACTGTGGTTAGGTGTGCAGTTTTTTAAAATCCTCCAAGTGGAAATTAAAATGTAAAATTGATGCTAATACAATTTTTAGCAAAATGAATGTAAACTCACAAAAGGCAGAAAGTTCTCAAGTTGAAGTTTCCATTGTATTAGTAATCTAGATGCAATCTACATGTGGGATGTTGTATTTTAGATGATCATTTATATTGTTAAATGTGTTCCTTAATTTTTGTATGCTAAATTAATGTCTTTGTAGTGTGGTTCCACACTCACTTTAACTTTTGCGTTCCATGTATATTGTGCATTAACATTAAAGTTAAAATTAAAATATTAGTCTAACATTTTGCATTTAGTATTTAGTTGGACTAAGCTGTTCAATTGAAACTGATTAATGCTCTAATTACAATTTAAGAAAAGCTTTTATTTTACTAGTTGATAATAACCTACCTTTTGAATCGATGTGACTAACAACATGGATTTATGTAGTACACTTGTTCACCTCTGACAGATTTTTTTTTTTTTTTTTTTTTGTAGCTAAAATAAGACACATGGAATTTGAATTACCTTCATTTCTCCAAACTGGAGATCACTACATAGAAAAAATTAATATAGTTTTCAAACTGGTGACCAGTTTTGATGATCTATGACAGAAATGTCAGAGTTCAGATTTGGTTACAGCCTTATAGTTTATAATGAATGAATGTATCAAATTTCAAGGTTCCCACCACACTGAACATGGAAATCGTTTATATGTAAGACTACATCTAACTACATAGTAGCAGTAGAAGGAGGACACATACTTGTGGAAGAAAACATTGTCCTCATACTCATTTGCACTCAGTAGTTCTCACCAAACTAGAGTGAATATAAATAGTAGGGAAGCTGCAGTAGCATGCGTAGTAGCTATTGAAGCTATAATCCTGTTCATATTCATGCCATCTCAATCAGATCTAGTGCAAGTATATGTATATGAGCTGAGGAAATTGCACCCTTGCTTATAGTGTAGGCATAGCCTATAAGTTAGTCACCCTTGTTACCTGCCTCTGTATTACATGAGATGATAAATTTCAGAAATTTTGGAATTGTAGGTAGCATCCGTTGCAAATGCAGAGGACTCTGCAGACTCAGAGGGTGTAACTGATTCTCAAAAACGTAGAGAGATTCTTTCAAGAAGGCCTTCATATCGGTAAGTTTATGCTTTTTTAAAAAACTAGCTTAACTGTCACATGCTATTCATATTATTACTAATAATACCTGAAGATGAGCTCTCTGTATGCTCAAAAGCTTGTGTCTCTCACCATCAGAAATCTGTCCAATAAAAGATATTACGTCATCTGCCATGCCTCACTAATATCCTGGAACCAACATGGATACAACATATCATATATATATATATATACTACTCAAAGTATAGCTATTAGTAAAAGACTGTCCTCAAAATGTTTCTCTTATGGGTACTGATTTTAAATCTGCTTTAAATTAAATTGTTTACATTATGTTTTAGAAAAATTCTGAATGAACTATCTTCCGACGCTACTGGTGTCCCTAAGATTGAAGAAGAAAAGTCAGAGGAAGAAGGAACACCTTCTGGCATCCCTGCAATGGCAGTACCAACCAGTCTGTATCAGACTAGCACAGGGCAATACAGTATGTATGCTAAGATAGAGTATAGCATTTTAATTTAAAAAATCATTTGCTATCTTTTGATGAATTTAAAAATAGTAGAGTGTAAATGGAGATAACTGTTTGGACCATGACGAAGTATGATATTTATCTTCAGAATTGACCAAGAGGATTGTAAATTGCATCTTCTGCCTTATCACATTATCAAAAAAAAAAAAACCACACCCAATAACACACGAGTAAAAAACGCCCTCAAAACCAAAAAAACCCACCTTTTTCTGGTCTATTTCCCAAACATGGGGTCATTTTGAAATTGTACTATTCCTTAAAGTATAGAAGAACCAGGTATTGAGTGAAAAGCAAAATGTAAGTGTCTTTCTTATCTTTTACACATACACAATTTATTTGTACTAGCATATATATAAGAATATTTTGTTTCATTCCTGTATTGTTTTAATACTGTATTACATGTTCATTTTGATTGGAAAATATTGATTAAAACATTAATACAGTGCAATACAAAGTTCTATGCGACTATGGCTCTCTTTTTGTCTTCAGAAATTTAATATAGTTTGCTAATCTAATGCAAAAGAGCGATATAATATAAAATTGAATTGTATTCATATCTCTAGTTGTGTCAGTAAACAAGTCATCTGAAAAATGTATGTACTGTGCTATAATATTGCATGCTACAGTGGACAAGTAACATTTTTCATTCTTTTATTTGTTGTATGAATTGACATATAATTTGTAATGAGATAGAGACCATAATTTAGAAATAAGCACAGGAGGGAAACGTATAATAGAACTTTCTGTTTGAACTTTCTGTTTTCTGCTTTTGATTAGTTGATATTCCAATCTTCTTGTTGTATTAACATATTTTTCTGTCTGAAATTAACTATAAACTACAATTTCCAATTGCTGATCTATTTTCGCTAAGCAGCGACAGAAAAAATAGTTTCACAGCAGTATTCCATAAATGTTTTTTGCTTTATTTACATGTTAAATATTTCACATATTGTCATGCATCTTAGATTTTGCAGCCATTTTTCTTATGTAGTTGAATTTCCATTAATCTTTTTCTTTTTCATATACAGTTTTTATACTATTAAAAAAAGAATTTATTGATTTAGTGAGTCATTTATGTGTCAAGTATTCTCATGTGTAGAAATCATGAAGATTTTTATTAAAAACAGAAGTGTATTTTCTCCTACACAATGGCAAGAAGATCTGTTTCTTCTGAAGCATATAGATGAGAACAGAGGACTCCCTATTAAAATGTTAAGGATAGAATGTCTCTTTCTAAATAAATTAACGGTTAAAATAGTCTTAGAAGTCTTCCAGCTATCCTTTATGATTTGTAAAAGTAATATCAAGAAAACAACATTTACATTTAGCACTGAACTAGTAATTACTACTCTTCATATTATTATTTTGGTTATAGAAATGTTAATGGTGATGATCAAATTAAGATTCTGTAGAATATGAAAGTCCTTAAATCCTTTGGATATAAAAAGTAAGGATATTGATTAGGGATTTAAAATCCCATGTAAACAGTTAACCAATTAAACGTTAAGCTTAACTGGCTAACTGATTAAGCAGGGTCGGATGGAGTGGGGCCATTCCAGTATGTTGGAACCTGCTAGCAGCGTTGCGCAGGCTGGGAGTTAGCAGCTTCGCGCGAAGCCAGAAGTGGTAGCGGGAGGAGGGCTGCTAGCTCCCAGCTTGTGCAGACTCACATGCTGGCAGTCAGCAGGTTCATGTGGAGCTGGAATTAGCTCCTTCCAGCCCCACGCAATGCTGTCGACTCCCAGCCTGCGAGTCCATGCTCAGCTATGGGCCTGTCATGAGCTACTCCCAGGTAATAGTTAATTGTTACCTGGTAAGCATCACCCATTAAGACTCCGGCTTGCCTGGTAACCAGTTACTTATTCACATCCCTACCATTGATAATCACTCCTGCTTGGTGCTGAGTCCTTAATTCCCAATGACTGCAACAGAAGGGCTCAGGATCTCTTGGGAGCTGCTCGCAAATTATGCCATTCAGTTGGAAATTGCATCTAGTAGTTGTTACCTTTACATTTTGGGTCTTCATGATCAAAGTACACTTTTATCAAGAGTCAGCATTGAAGTTATATTAAAAAATGTGAAAAATTCATTCCAAAATGTAACCTTTTCAGGAAAACCTGGATAGATTTGAAGCAATGAAAGTAGTAAAACACAAATCAGTAGAGTTGACTATTTCTCAAGACTGAAAAAAAAGTGCTAGAAGAAATTATCTACATTTGGAAATTAAAAGCAAATTCAGTGATTACTTATGCTATACAGCAATTTTCAGTATATATAAAAGAAGCTGTACATGAATTGTAGTTCAATTTTACTTTGTTGCAGTCAGTATGCATTTGGAAAACTGGTTTGAATGGAAAAAGAATGGGACCTTATGTATGAATGGTTAAGCATTTCCATCAGCATAAAAAACAAGTGTCAAATACTCTTACTGAGTGTTACAAAGAATAAATCTTTCTGAGTAAAAAATTCCTTTCAACATGTTTTCCAACTTTTTCTTTTCTTAACTGTGTTCCTCATGTCAGAAATGTAGGTATCATTAAATATCAGTGATCCATTAGTTTTGGGTTGGGTTGGTTGTATGTGCAATCAGACATTTATCATCTTTGGTGTACAAGGGGAACTCCCTAGGAGATGTATTGTAACAGATACACAATGAACCTTCGGACCTACAGGTTTGTGATAGACTAGGAATTAAAATATCTTAACTCAGCTGCCAGTCCATCTGGGGACCAGAGTTTTCACTAGTCAAATCATTGTCTTCCTTCTAGCAGCTAAGGTCTGAGGTGTCATTAGGTAAAGCCTGAAGAAGAACTTGTGTGATTTCATTGGTCGGGATCTCCACCTCCTGGCTTTCAGTATATCAGGAGCACTCCTGGGCATTCTTGCATGCATCTGCTCTTTGCTTTTCCATTTCATTTTGGGCTTATTTAAAGGAAATACTCTCTAGGTAGCCATCCTTCCTTTCTGGGCTCACGGATCACTCTTCTGTTTAATCTGAAAGAATTCATTTAAACTTTATTCTGATCATTTGTGCAAGAGTTTAGTATGTTTTTAAAAAATTGAATGTTTTAAAAGAAATTAAGTGCAAACTCTAGTAACAAGATTTTTTTAAAAATTGTAATTGCACATCACTTTCCTTTTTTATAATTTGCTAAATCTGTACTAACCAGAAGCTTAGGCTTTTTTCTCTATTTTAACTAAAATATTTGTTCAGTAAGACATCTACTTTGGAATAAGCAAAAACAAAAAAACAAAGCAAAACAAAAAAAACCCTACCAATGTTTGCTTGAATTAGCAAAGGACATACAAAATTTAATTAATTCGTACTTAATCTAATTTTAAACAGGCTTTGGCATGAGTCTGAGCTACAAGAGTCCCAATGCATGCTGTTCTTCCCTCAAATAAGAAATCATGCTAATAGCTTAGAAAAACATGTGCTACATTTTTAGACTGATTTAATATGCAGGATTTGTTAAATGTATTTGCAGCAGTATACTTCAATATTAGGCACTGTTCAAGGATTCAGACAACAAACTTCTTATGCCATGATAGAGTCTGGTTTGGGAACTTTGTTTTTAAAGCCATATCTTTTTGCAAGCAGTTTTTTTTTTAGTCCATAATTTTTCAGTTCATTAACTTGGTCAGAAGAAGTTCTCCGTTGTATATAAAAATGAAAAAAACCTGAAAACAAAATCCCATCCATCTTTTATTGCAGCATACTTAGTATATCAGTTATCCAAGCAGATATATATCCTCTAGGGATGTAAAATCCCCCCATTTAATTAGTTAACCTATTAAACGGCCTGCCATGGTTGGACTGGAGTGGTAGCTGGGGAGGAGCAGAAGAGGCAGTGGGGCAGTAGGGCTGCCAGTCCCCAGCCCATGCAGGCTGGGAATCAGCAGGCTTGAATGGGGTGGAAGCAGGAGGGGGAAGACTGTAGGCTCCCAGCCTGTAAGCCCACACAGGCTGCCCCTATGAAGCTGCTGACTTGCAGCCCATGCAGTCTGGGGGCCAGTAGCCCCACGAGACTAGAGCAGCCCTCCACCCACAGTGGGCTGCTCCCGGCTACCCGTTTAATGAGTTATCAATTCACATCCTTAGTATCCACCTAATAGTAATTCCATCTAGCTTGTATTTCCTTAGTTTGTTAATGAGAAGGCCATGCAAGACTGTCAAATGCTTTATTAAAGTCTAGATATATCATGTCTACTTCTTCCATCTTCACCTTAAGGCTTGTTACTCTTGTCAAATAAAGCTATCAGGTTGGCTTGACAAGTTTTTTTTCTTGACAAATCAATACTGACTGTTACTTATCACTTTATTATCTTCCAGATATTTTCAAATTGATTCCTTCATTATTTGCTCCATTATTTTTCCCAGTAAAGAAGTTAAGTTGACTGGTCTATAATTCCCTGAGTTGCCATTATTTCCCTCTCTATAGATGTGCACTTCATGTGTCTTTTCCAGTCTTCTGGAATCTGTTCTGTTTTCCATGATTTTCCAAAGAAAATAGCTAATGGCTCAGATATCTCCTGAATTAGCTTCTTGAGTATTCTAAGATGCGTTTCATCAGGCCCTGGTAACTTGAAGACATCTAACTTGGAGAGTGGAGGATAATGCAATCTGGTTGGGATAGAATTTTCTGTCTCAGTTTTATATATGTATTTAGTTAATATAATTAAAATATTTTGACAGTTCTTCACAGGTTTGATATTTGGGCTATCCAGTTTGGGTTGATTAGGCAGATCACAGTGCAAGATATCTCTGTAGGCTTTGTTTCTGCTACATTGATTCTAGAGTAGTAGAAGCTTCATTTTGCCATTTTTGCTGCAGTGTTATAGTCCTATAAGTTTTATCTGGAAATTCAAAACATGTTTTGCATCACTGGCATTCAACATTTCTTGATGTATGCTTCTTCTGGCAGAGCACATATGTGACCCATAGTGATCATTGT